GACTAGCTAGCTGCTGAAGCTGCTGCCCTTTCCTTTGCTTTTCTGCTCTTTCCGCCCACATCAACTGGCTGCTCCGTGCCACATGCCACGTGCCACTGCCTTGGAGCCAGCTGATTATGGACTGAACCTCTACCAACTAAGCTAAATAAACCTTTCCTTCCTTCATTTTGGGCGTTGGGCATTTTGTTCCAGCAACAAGAGAAGAGTAACTAAGACAGAATTTGGTACAAGGAGTTGGTTGTTTCTCTGACTACCTGACCATGTGGATTACAAGCTTCTGAGAACAGCTTATGGGAAGAGACAGGAAGGGTTTGGAGATGTTGCCTACAAGAGAAGTGCTGGAATGCCTTGAACAGTTCTGTATGGGAGTTTCTGGTCAGAGCTCAGAAGACCAGAGGCTGATAGAAATCCTGCCTGTAAAAACCAGGCTGGGGAGATTTCTCAGGGAAGAAAGACTGCATTGGCTGTTGGACTCAGATGATGTGTGTTATTGCTTGGCAGAAAGCTTCTGTGAATTTTGGTCGCATCCAGAGACTTTGCCTGAGACTGACATTAAATACAGTGGACTGATTATAATCTTACAAAAGAAATTTCAAGGTGGTAGAATGTGCAGGCAATGGCATGGCTATTGTGGACTTTTAGTCAAATTTATTTTGAGAACCAAGAGCAAAAAGCCCAGCAGGATGATTTAAAATGTTTGAGTTTGGCCAGAAAGGAAGCACCAAGTGGACAGTAAAGCTAGAGCTGAGAGGATCTCCATTGCTGAGAAGGAGTAAGAGAATAGAAAAGACTGTCTGAGGGCTCACAGGAGAGGGCAGGTCTCAGCCTTGTGCAGCCTCAGAATTGCAAGGGTAAGGGAGTTGGCCTTGAGAAGGCCACAGAGCCCCGGGGGTTCCAGAATGGCAGCAGCCACACCAGGATCCAGAATGGCACAAGCATAGAGAATTTGTTCCTCGGAATCAGGTTCAGAATGCTCAGTGATCCAGGCACTTGGCTCCTACAACCAAGAGAGAAGAAAATCTGGCTACTGCTCCAGCTGGTAGCAAACCTTGGTATGCATATGGCATTGGTTTTAGGCGCTTGTGGAATGCAGGAGTTCTGAGGTTAAGAAGACTTCCACCTAGATTTTAGAGAAGGCCTGGGAGGCCAGGCAGTGTGCCCCTGAGAGGGTGGTAAGTAAAGATGTGAGAGGCCTATTCAGTGGAAACTCCAGAAGTCTGGAAAAGCCACGAATGTGAATAATCTAAGGAAAACTGCAAGAGGGAAACAAAGCAGGCCTAAGAGAGAAGCCATTGGAGCTACAACCAGCAGAACTGCCATAGAGGTGGAGTCACATGGAGCTCAGAATTTGTCATAGATTACTTCACATGTTCCACATGTAACTATAGGACTTAATGTTTGCCCTGGTGGATTTTGGATTTCCTTTAGCCCCAATGCTTTGCATTGCCCTGTTGTCGGTTACCTTTTGGAATGGTAATGTTTATCTTTTGCCATTGAATGCTGGAAGTATTTTAACTTTTCATTTGTACAGGGGCTCTCACAGCTAAGAGTTTGCCTTAGATCCTGGAGGAGACTTGGGAATTAGACTTTTCAGCAATGTGAAACTGTAGGACTCAGAAGGCGCTGGGGAGGTGGCTCAGTAGAATAAGTGCTTCCATGGCAAGCGCCAAGGGCCTGAGTTCAATCCCCGGTTCCGCCAAAAATAAAATTAAAAAAAAAAAAAAAGAAAAGAAAGAAAGAAAGAAAGAAACTGTAGGACTCAGAGATGGACAAAAATGTCTTTAAAGCAATGTGCATGAGTCTTTGGGGATGGGGGGGGCTGTTATGGTTTGTGTCTAGTTGTTCCCTCAAAGCCTTATGCAGTCATGGGGTGGCTTCTGCAGTTTGTGATTATGATGAATGTGGGTGTTGCACCTACCCTGGGACAGGTGATCTGTGTTACAATGAGAGGGGAGAGAGGTTAGCTAGCTGCTGTCCTTCTGGTTTTTTTTTTATCTTTGCCACTGACATGAACAGCTGTTCTGTGCCATGTGCCACTCTGCCTTGGAGCTAGCTGAGTATAGACTGAAAAGTCCCACTAACTGTGAGCTAAATAAACCTTTCCTTCCTTAATTTTGGGTGTTGGGTATTTTGTCCCAGCAAGGAGAGAAGAGTACCTGAGAAAACTGGCTTCCTTACTTATGCAGATCATAATGCACATTGTTCCTATGCTTAAACTGTGTGGGAGGACACTGGGCAAATGGAACTCAAGGGACAAGAGGAAGACGTCTCCCAATAATGTGTATGACACAGAAAAGTGCCTCATGGTCACTGTCAACACAAGAGCATTTTCACTGGCCACTGTAAGAAAGAGTTTCTTTCTGGCAATCCCCAAGTCCCTTTTATACTGTTTTAGGTACTTGTTCTGTTCAAATGCCAGACTTCACCTTCTCTGTCCACAGGATTCTTATTTATTCTTCAAAAAGTTAACTCTGGGCTGGGTAGATAGCTAAGTAGTTTAACTGCCTGCCTGGCAAGAGCAAGGTCCTGAGTTTAATCCCTGTGTTTAGGAATTTAAAAGAAAAAAAAAATAGCTAACTCTCTTTACAAAGTACTCAAAAACTCTCTTTCAACTCATACTCTTGTACATCATCCTTCTTGGTGTTCCTTAAGACTACACGTTAAATCCAATTGTCAATACTCTGTCTGGGGGCTGGAGAGATGGCTCAGTGGTCTAAAGCACCTACTTAAAACAAGCTTGGCAAAGCACAGGGACCTCGGTTCGATCCTCCAGCACCACATGCCAGCCAGCCCCGCCCCCTGGTGGACTGAGCTGGCCACACACACAATAAATAAATGTAATAAATAAAAATAAATTTAAAAAAAAAAAAAATACTCTGTCTGCCCAAACTAAAAAGTATCTCAAGCCAAGTACCACTGTCTCATTCATAGGACAATGAATGGGCCTTGAACACAAGATTGGAAATTTGAGTAACTCTCAGTAGCATAAAAAAGGCAATAATTAAGGAACTGAAATTCTTGACCAGTTTTCATTTTTAAGCTACTATTTGAAAGAGCTAATAACAACTAAGGGGGGCGGGGGACAGATCAGTAGAATAAGTGCTTGCCTGGCAAGCGCAAGGGCCCGAGTTCAATCCTCGGTTCTGCGGAGAGAAAAAAAAGAAAGAAAGAAAAAAGAAAAAGAACTAAGGGGGACAACACATGATTACAGATGCTTAGAAGGGCATGAAGACAAATGGTTAAAATGGGGCTTAAATATTCAACTAGACTCCTATAGTACAATGTGATTGCCAATTACAAATGACTTAAGATAGGAACAATTCTTCAACCAACTACCATCAACAATTCCAACATTAAATATTATTTTAGAGACAACTTGAGACTGGGTATGGTGGTGCACGCCTGTAATCACTATGCCTGTAATCACTATGAGTCCAATCTAGTAGTGAGACACTGAACATCCTGTAGTGCCTTCCCTAAAATACAGAAAGAAAAGAAAAGACAGACAGACAGACAGACAGACAGACAGACAGACAGACAGACAGACAGACAGACAACTTCAGCTAGGAATATAGCTCAGTGGCACAAGTGCCTGCCTAGTAAGCAGAAGATCCTGAGTTCAAGTTCTGGTACCAAAAAACCCCCAAAAAGACAACATTTAAATCCCCCGCCAGGATATAGCAATGTACACTGAATAAAGGACCACTGGAAAGTAGTACACCTAACTTCTGAAAATAATTGTACAGGAGCAAAAACAGGGCATGTTAAACACAACTAACACAAAAAGCAGAGGAAGTATGAGATCTTTTAAATCCAATCATACAGTCCAATACAATCTGAAGGAGATAGTGTAAGATAATTCTCAATAAGGAGGTTCAACAAAATCAAGTATGTTCTATCTTATGTAATAAACACATTAAAAAGGGGTGACCTGCTCTGAGCAGGCACCTCTAGGGGTTGAACCAGGGTGGGATTGAACCAGGGTCTACTGCACACAAGGCAAGTGCCCTACTCTTTAACTAAATTGCTGCTTGGAATTTTGAAAGGAAAGCTCAGAAAATGAAAACCGGGCCCTGATTTTTCAGCAATGTTTTCTGCTATGAAGAAACTAGACTATCAAGAATTTCTATGGCAATTTGTAATAGTAGGTTCATGCTTGAAGTGCCTGTCATTCTGGTCTTCTGAATACATGCTGCTTGTCATGACACTCCAGTTGGCAGTGCTGTCTCTAGGGTAGATGATTGTTTAAAAAGGAAGGGAGTGGTGAAGGAAAGCAATAGACAGGAAAAGGAGTGTTGTGGGACTGTCCTGCTACAATGTTGTATATGGTTAGATCTCTGGACTTATGTGTAAACGTATATAATTATTTATTCCTATTTTTTAAATATAGCTTAATTTTAAAAGGAAAAAAAGAATTTCTTACTCCTGGAGAGAACACCCCCAGAGATTTAGCCTGCTTTTACCACTCTGAACAGCCAAATAAGTCTCATCACCAACTTACCCATTTGTACCCATGATACAGGAATTGAAGCGCCCTGGAAGTGGACAAGAGTACTGCACTTACTGTAAATAACATCTGTAGAATAGTTACTGAGAATTGTCCCTAAGGCACTAGAACAGCAAAGAACTCCTAGATCTGGAATTGCGGTACCTCCAGCAAGGCCAACACCACCATGACACAGCACCTCCTTAACTAAGTATCATCTCCATCATGTTGAAACTAAATCATGGGGCTGGCGAGATAGCTCAGTGGTCTAAAGTGCCTGCTTAGGCAAGCTTGGGCAAGCATGCAGGGACCTCGGTTTGATCCCCAGCACCACATGCCATGCCAGTCCTGCCCCCAGGGTGGGCTGACTATAAAAAAAAAAATAAAAAAATAAAGGAAACATGGAAAAATAAAATAAAAAAAGAAACTAAATCATGCACATAAGTAGATAAACTACTATAACCTCTTAGGCAGTTCACAAAAATGAGGGGAAAAAAAGATGCAATAGTAGTACCTTCTGTCTCTCCTTCTTCTGAAGATATTAGGATTGTTCCTTTCCCATCTTCAATTTGAACATCTGGTGCAACCATAGCAAATTTTTCTTTCACTATCTATAAGGGGAAAAAAGAAATTCAAAATGCTAGCATAAGTAATTATAAACCACAAAAAGCCTACACATCTTTTAATTTTGGACGGCTCAGTCCATCCTGAGGGCAGGGATAGCATGACACATGGTGTCGGGGATGGAACCATGGACCCCTGAACCTGCTTGTCTAAGCAGGCGCTTTAGACCGCTGACCTATCTTGCCAGCCCTACACATCTTTTCTATGAAGGCTCTTATGTTTCCTTTCCATTTGAAAGAGTTAAGTTATACTTAGGGCAAGGAGAAAAACTGGTAACTACTCCTGTTCCTTCCATTCCTGTATCTGACCATGAACACTGAACATATCAAACTTGCTACAAACAGGGTACCCAGAAATCTTTGACTGGCTCCTGATGTTTTCTTTCCCTAGAGACTGGGAAGTGTCCTGCACACTTGAAATATTTCATCTTAGTCTCTGTGCCAACCCTGTAATGCAAGATTTTTGATGTAAAAACTTATCTTGCTCTCAAATTATCATATCCTTCCCAAATGCCATCTCTCTTTAATTATCCTACAAATAAGCAACTACTGTTAATCCCAATAGCCAACACGTAACAATTACTTCCTAGAGAGTGGAACATCCATCTTCTGGTGGTCAATTTACCAAGACTTGCTTTTTTTCTTTTTTCTTTTTTTTGGCGGAACCGGGGATTGAATTCAGGCCCTTGTGCTTGCCAGGGAAACACTTATCCCACTCAGCCATCTCCCCGGCCCCCTGCTTTTTTTCTCTAACTAAAACATGTGTACAAATCAGTCTGCCCCGTGTACCCAGTTCTGTATCAATACCAAGCCTCCTCTCACAAAGGGAAAAAGACTTCCCTGTTCAGGAGGCGTGTATATAAGTGACACACTGATGAAGACAACTGAGGAACAATCTGAAATGATCACCAAGTTATGTGACACTCTTGGCAGGCATTAAAACTTTTTTTGACTAATAAAGGAATTAATTTAGCCAACTTAGAAGGAATCTATGGACCAGACCATAATTCAAACTTTATTTCCCGTACTCTAGCTCTGCAAAAAAATCCAAGTGTACATATATTGTATCTCTTCAGGGACTAACATAGCACACCAGAATCAGGTTACATTAGAAAAGCTGTTTCTAGCTCAGCAGATTAAAGTGCCTGCTTAGGCAGATGCAGGGGCCAGGAGTTTGATCCTGGGCCTGCAGCCACCAGGGTGCACTGAAATGAACTGAGACTGGGTGTGGTGGCACACGCCTATTATCCCAGCACTTGGGAGGTTGTAAACAGGAGGATCAGTATGAGTCCTATCTACCCAGTGAGACTCTGTACACCCTATTCTAGATTTTTTTTATTCTTTTTTTTTTTTTTTCTGGAACTGGGGATTGAACTCAAGCCCTTGCGCTTGCCAGGGAAAAACTTATTCCACTGAGCCATCTCCCCGGCCCCTCACCCTGTTCTAAATACAAAAAAAGAAAAAGAAAAAGAAAGAAAAGCTGTTTCACCATCTCTTCTCAGAGGGACTGGGCAGTGTCCAACATTCAGAGCAATAAAACTCTGCAAGGTATCCATGCCCTTAAACATGAAGATACTAATTAGGGTTTTGCTGTGCTAGAAACACAAAAAATTTTCACAATGTACACAAATACTCTGTTCACTGCCATAGTCAGGACCATTCAAGGGTACGTTTGGGTGTTCAAAACTACAGAATTTACCCGCTAGCTGGTAACAAAGCAAACATTGTTCAGCTTTCTGCAATATCATGCCATCCCAACACTACCTGGCTTATGCATCCCAGCCAAATGCAACTTTTATCATTCTAGAATACGAGGTATATATTAGAGACAAATAACCCAGCAGAAATCCAGAGGGTGAAGTAATCTAAGAAATTAGATCAATTCATTTTAATAGCAGAGCTTTTCAAAGTAATAATGTGGGGCCAGGGAGCTAGCTCAGTAAATAAGCGCTTGCCTGGCAAGTGCAAGGGTCTGAGTTCATCCCTGGTTCTAAAAAAAAAAAAAAAAAAAGTAATAACGTTTAGTTTATTATCACAGTAATAATGTAATGGACAAAAGGAACCTGTATTATTCCCCCTAGGAAAAGAAAACCAGCCCTGCACTCACCTTGTCTTGTAAGGTGAGAACAGTCACTTTATGGACATTCAGCCGGACAGTCACCTCTGGCTTGCTGGCACATACATAACAATTAGGGTTGGGAGGATCCAGTGCACAAGGCACAAGAAGCTTCTTTCTAGGGTTTGGCTGCTTATTTAAAAAAATCTTCAGAGAAAAAAAAACACAAGCAGGAATCAGAAATGTGAGTTAGAATTCTACAAATCAATCTAAAATTCTTACTATATATCCAACTTAAAAGATGATTTCAATATTCCCTTTATATGCCAAAAAGAAAAAGAAAACAAAATTATAACTCTGACAGTCTCATTTTCCAGCCTTCTTTCCTAATCAGCTACCATGAACAAGATTAATTATTATACACTTTCTTAGGAGTTACACAAAACCCTATACTCCTCTGATAACTAACACAACAGAAAGGACATTGTCATAAAGCGCTCTGGCATCAAGGCCCAATGTCTTTAAGTCTTTGGCACCAGGAATCAAACTCAAGACTTGTGCCTGCCAGGCTTGTGCCACCCAGCTGTACCCCGGCCCATCTGATGCCATTAACTTGGCTTCTGAGTTGCCTTCCTGTGCTTATTCATGCCAACTTTATATTCTTAACAAAATCAATTCACTTTAGTAATTTTATAAAGCTTTCACTGATGTCTGGAACATTCGCATTCCCTAATTTTCTGTGCTAACAATAGTAAACATAATTATGTTTAAAAAGATAATGTAAGCTGATAATACTAGTATTGATACCATCTCAAAGAACGAAAGTATACTGAAATTAAGAAAAGCCCCAATTCCTGTAGCTCAATTGTACAGTGCTTGCCTAGCATGTACAAGGCTCTGGATTCAATCTCTAGCACCACAAACCAACGTGTGGGTGAATGCGCACACATGCATGTGTAGTTTTGTTTCCAGAGTTGAAAAAACAAGGATGTTCACAATTTCTCTGATAATTCAGTAAAGGTAGAAAGGTTAGAAGCAAATTAGCTTGTTTCCATTTATCGGATAAAAAGAAAAGAAGCAAATGTACTTTTCTTTGTCTTTGAGACAGGGTCTCGCTATGTAGTTCAAGCTAGCCTTGAGGTCACTTTATAGCACAGGCTGGTCTCAAACTCACAACCATTCTCCTGCCTCCACCCACTGAGTGCTGGGATTACAGGTAAGCACCACCATACCTGGCTGCAAATGAACTTTCTTTACCACTGCAATTTCCAGAATGGTTAAAAAGAGTATAATGTAACTTGAAAAGTTATTTCCCATCATATCATCATCATCATCATCATCATCATCATCATCATCATCATTTTGGTACCAGGAATCAAACTCACGACCCTGGGATTGCCAGGCAGATGCTGTGTCGTGAAGCTATATTCCCAGCCCTATTTTCCATCACTTTAAAATAATTTTGTTGTTTTAATGTTTTACATTGTCCATTTAATGCATTTTCTGTAATTTTTATTTTCTGGTGTTCAGGATCAAACCCAGAGCCCTGCACTGAAATATTTTCCCAATTCCTATAAATTACTTTTAAAAAGAGACTGAATTTAAAAAAAAGCAAACAGAAATACTCACTGTTCTACATTGATCTATTTTTCCTGATAAAATCTTTAATCCTTCCAATACTATCAACCCGGCAATCACTGCATTAGTAGTAGCAATAGCAGGAATAATGTTCCCTGCCATTGCTGGGGGGAAAAAAGATGAACATGTTTGGCTGTTAAAAAACAAAATACAATTCTAAGGTTTCAATGATACAAATGAAGTATAGAACAACTTACATTTTATATCGAATCTGCTCTTCATATTCATGCTGAAAATATGCATCCTGAGGTTTGCTGCAGAGGTGACAAAATCCATCGCAGATGGGTCATCCTGCCAATAACAAATAACTAACAAGTGTTCCACAACTTGACCAGGTTTGCCTAATAAGGTCCTTAGAGCAGTACTTTCAAGTTTACAAAGCTGCAGACAACCAGAATGGATAATACTGAAGGAGAGGCTCACTAGCAAAATCTTAAAAGTAGCATAAAGGTTTGAGTTAGAGCCTAGACTCCAGAGTTTTTCTTTTTCTTTCTTTTTTTTTTTTTTTTTTTTTTTTTTTTTTTTTTTTTTTTTTTTTGTGTGTGTGGAACCGGGGATTGAACTCAGGCCATTACAAGACTCCAGAGTTTGCAAAGCACTTCTGCCTTGAGATTTTTTTTCCCCAATGCAGAATTCAGAAGCAACACTGGACAAAACAGAGCACTGGATGTACATCTTTCACCATATGATTCCCTGTGCAAAACTCTTCACCATACAAAGCCAAAGCTGAAGGAAACCACATCACACCATGAGATCTGCTGTTGAAAGACTTACACTGATCATTGTTATTCTGTTCATGCCTTGGGTTATTCTTTGGTGAATAATGATGGGTACCACCAAAGATGAACAATTACCGTGTTACGTGACACTTCCTAATGATGCAGCAAAGGTTCAGAGCCTAACATGAGTTCAACACAGGCCTAAATCGGAAACTGCTGCTGGGTGTAGTGGTGGCACATGCCTATCTATAATCCCAGCACTCTGGAGCCTAAGGCAGGATCACTGTGTGTCCAAGGCTAAGAGGGGCTACAAACTGAGTTCAAGGCCAGACTGGATTGCACAGTAAGAACCTGTCTCTAAGCTCAGTGTGAAGGCCTGGTACCAAAAAGAAAAAAAATTAACAATTCTCAGTTCCAAGGGTTGTTCAGTTCCTATAAACTAAAAAATTTTTAAGTCACTAGAATAAAAATATTGAAAAAGCTACCTTTATTATCAATCATGTATACAGGAGACTAACGTTTTTAAGAATCTCAGCAATCTTATTACCATGTCTAACTCAACTAAAAGTTTGTGTACGCATAGCTATCTCAGGTTTCTAAAACTAGCCACTCTTTCTCTTACATTAAATCTTTATTAGGAGCTGGGGAGATGGCTCAGTGGAATAAGCACTTCCCTGGCAAGGGCAAGGGTCTGAGTTCAAATTCCGGTTCCACAAAAAATAAATAAATAAATCTTTACAAGGGCTGGGGAGATAGCTCAGTAGAATAAGCACCTGCCTGTCAAGCACAAGGTCCTGAATTCAATTCCCAGCACAATAAATAAATAAATAAATAAATAAGAAGTTGAAGTAGGGTAGGACGGGCCAGGGAGATAGCTCAGTAGAATAAGCGCTTGCCTGGCAAGCACAAGGTCCTGAGTTCAATCCCTGGTACCACATTAAAAAAAAAAAAAGAAAAGAAAAAGAAACAGGGCAGGACAACTTTTTTAGAAATTAAAAAAATAAATCTTTATCAAAAGTCATATACTATAATTAACATGAAGTAAAATTTGCAGGACTGTGGCACAGGCTTCTGATCTCTGTACTTTTTTTTTTTTTTTTTTTTAAACCGGGAATTGAACTCAGGACCTTGTGCTTGCCAGGGAAGCACTTATTCTACTGAGCCATCTCCCCCACATCCCCATACTCTTAAGAGCAGGATGCTTGCATGTTAGAAGCCCAGACTGGGCAACTGAGCAAGAACTTGTTTCAAAATATAAATGGTTGCTTAGGGAGGCTCAAGGACTTGGCCCAACATGCCATGCTGGCCCCATCCCCGGGGTGGTGTGCACCTGTAATCCCAGTGCTTGGGAGGCTGAAAACAGGAGACCACTATGAGTCTGATCTATAGTATAGTGAGACTCTATAGACTCTGTACTAAATACATAAAAATAATTAAGTGGGCTAAGGTGTAAAGGGGAATACCACATGCTTGAGTTCAATCCCCTTAAACAAACAAAACACCCCTCAGCATAATATGTAACTGGTGGCTATAACCCTAGGACCCAAGAGGCTGTATGGAAGCTAGCTGCAAGTTCACTACCAGCTTGGGCTACACAGTGAGTTGAAGGCCAAATGGAACTACAACAGAAGACCCATCTCTCAAGAAAAGGAAACAGGTAACACTACAAATTAAATATTATCCGCAGCTTAAGAATAAATCAATTTCATTTTTATAGTGAAGTCTTTTGTACAGACCTCTTAAATAGCTGTAAATATTTCATCAGAAAGGCAATTTTAATCACTTTTGACATTAAATGAAGCCAATGAGCTGTTGTTCTCAAAGAGATTTCATGCCTTTCATTAATACATCTATATTGAATTTAAACTCTATTTTCTTGTGTCAGAGGAACAGTCCAAGCTAATACATCCACATTATTATTATTATTTTTTTTTTTGCAGAACCAGGGATCATATTACTTTTCTTGTCATCATTATAAACCATGAAATCCAAAATGAGGTTTTATGATACTGTGTAAATTTGTGTACAGAAAATTTACACTGCAAATCCAGCAAACAGAGATAATTAATACAGACCAAACTAAAGATTTGATAAATGATACTTCAAAAATCACTAACGAGACTGAGCATGGCGGCACACGCCTGTAATCCCAGCACTTGGGAGGTGGATCACTACCAGTCCAATCTAGTATTGAGACCCTGAACACCCTGTAGACCCTTCCCTAAAATACAAAAAACAATCTCTAACTTCAGGGCCAGCGAGATAGCTCAGTGGTCTAAAGCTCCTGCTTAGGCAAGCATGCAGGGACCACAGTTCGATCCCTGGCACCACATGCTGTGCCAGCCCACCCCCAGGGTAGACTGAGACCACAAAAAACAACAAAAAAAACCTCCCCCAAAACCTAGCTTCTATTACAGCTCAAGAACTAAAATATACACGTGATACATAAAAAATTAACACACATTTGGGGCCAGGGAGATGGCTCAGTGGA